TTTGATGACGTAGGTAGGTACAGCGGGGTACAGCGACGTCCCCGCTGTACCCACCTACGTCATCAAGTCATTTTTATGAAGACCACCCGCGATTTTCTTCGATGAAAGTGTTAGAGCAGTCCCTGTATTGAAAAAGTAAAAACCGCGAAATCGTAAGTGGGGCCGTTTTTTTTTCGAGTTTTTTATTTTATTTTTAAGGGTAAAATGGCGGCAGAGTGAGGGCTGAGGGGCCAATGTGTGACCTCCATAATCCTCAACCCTCTGGTCAAATGAAGTTCAAAATTCATGTATGTTAGTCTTCCGAGCTTCCTCAAACGTTTTAAACCCTCCCTTATTATGATGCGGGTGATGGGGCAATGTGGATTTTGGTTTGTGATTATCATTATAAATCATGGAAAAAACTTGTTATTTTACACTGTGTGAATAATTTTAAATCTACCGTGATGAAGGCATGCGATGTTTCCATATTTTCGTTTTATGCAATAGAAAAATTATGTTTTCCAGAAGATGTCAATTTTTATATTTGACTGAAACCAGTCCACGCTCATTGATCAGCGCTACTTTTTACATAGGCACATCAGCTTTAATTGACGAATTTTTACATACAATGGAGCATTATGTCAGTCATTTAACTTCAATTTATAAACGTAATCTATTCACGAAATTGAATGCACGTGAATCGATGTTGGCGGATTTGGTTCAAAAAAATTTCCCGGATTATATATAAAGAATAAAATACCTATAAGGAAAAATAGTCTTTAATTCGCGAGTAAAAAGTAAACAAAAACCGTTCAGAGATTCTGCAGATGTTCGCGAAGAATTTAAGTTTCAATCTCTTATATCTAAAGAGAGAAAAAAAGAGAAAAGAAAGAAAAGGAAAGAAGAAGAAAAAAAGTCTACAAATGATGAAATTTCAACTTTTTCTTTCTTTTTTTTTCTTCTTGAAGGATGACAATACTTCTTCTACCCTAGGGAAGCGAGAAAGTAAAAACTTCAATATTCTCGTTCAGTGATTACGCGGGAGTAAACAAGCAAACCCAATTAGCGCATGAGCCTCCAAAGTTTATTTCTCGCTCAAAGATTTTTTCGCTGATTTTTGGAAATCAGGAACAATGAGCTAGAACACATTTTTATCGCTTGTGAGTCTTTGAAGTTTTTTTTTTTTTTTTTGCTTTTTTCTTAATTTTCTCTTCTTTTTCTAGTATAGCTTCATGTTACAATCACTCGCAAATCTTTTTGAAGGAGATAGGCTCAGAATCAACAGTTCCTCTAAAACTTTTTAAAACTTCTTCTTTCCGTAAATTTTAGCATATTTTTTTTTCCTTCCTAGGCTGGCCGATGAATGAGGCTTTTAGGGGGTTTTCAAGGTGAAACTAATTTATAATAAACTATTCCTTAAAAAAAAAAACACGAAGGAAAGAAACAACTTATTTTTTTACTTCATTTTTTTTTTTTCAAAATGAATTATTCACTTTTTCACAGGTCTTTTTCATTTACAGGTTCAACATACAAAGTTGACAATTGACGCTTAAAGTAAATTATTCTGGGCATTTCAACAACTGAAGTTACGAGATAATGATGAAGAATAAGATTGCAACAGTTTAAAAGCTTCAGACAAGAAGCCGCCTGCGAAAACTGCACTGCGCGGCGGCGTCGGATACACGTCACCGTCAATTCAAAAAACCCGCGCAAACCTCGCCGTCATTGTTGTTTACAAAAATCGAGCACCAGCCACCGCCGAACTGCACCAATCCGGTGCGTATTCGGGGTGCCCTGTTGACTGTCAAGTCGTCAGTCGGAAAAACCCGTCCGAAACCCTCTAATCAACTGGAAGAGCTCATAAGTCAACTCTTAATGACCATTGAATCATTAAGGAAGCAACTAGAGGAGATGAGTAAGAGACAGGAAAAATACGAACAGGCTCTTATGAGCCGAGTGTTGGGTTCTCGATACAATGACTAACAAAAGTGGAAGCATTCTTAATCTTATCGCATGGAATGCGAATGGATTAAAACCTGCTAAACTCTTAGAATTTAGTGAAAAAATGGCAAAATTATGTGTAGGTATAGCATTGTTCTCTGAAACCCATTTTGCTAGGGAATCGAGAGGATACTTGAAAGGATATAGATTTTTTAATTCACGACATCCTTCTAATAACGCTAGGGGGGAGCCTCTATTGCTATCAGGGAAAACATTAAACACTCCGTTCTTGAAATTGTAGAAGAAGAACGTTTCCAAGCGGTGATTATTCAAATTGAGTCATCGCTAGGGCCATTTAATGTCAGCGCTATATTCGCTCCACCGTGTCATCGATGCTCAGTTGACGATTATTCTGGTTTACTTGATAAATTGGGTCCTCGCTTCCTTATCGGGGGGCACTTCAACTGTAAAAACGTCAGATGGAGTTCGAGATTAACTAACCCGAAAGGTGTTAATCTTGAAACTGCATAGTCAATCTTATCGGAGGTGATTTTATCTCTCCGGGTAAACCCACTTTCTATCCAGGTAATCCATTGAAAGAGCCTGACGTAATTGATTTTTTCATCTTCAATAATCTCAATCTCAATAACAAAACTTCTTGCAGTGTGTTAGAGGGAAAAAAAAAAGATCATGTGCCGGTTCTCTTATCTATATTTGCTACTCCAGTATTGGTTAAACGCCCACCCTGTCTAATTTCTACTCAAACAGACTGGAAAAAATTTCGAGAATTTTTAACTTCCCGTAGTAACAACTCGACTTCAATAAACGACTGCTCCACACTTGATAAGGAGGCAGAGTCATTAATTTCGAGCATCCAAGAAGCTGCAAAAGCAAGCACGCCGGTTGCTAGAACTTTTAATAATTTTCATCATAAATGCACTCTTCCAAAGGAAATACTCAGCCTTATTGACCGCAAAAACAAAGCGGGAAGGAGGACACGGATTCCTCACCATGAATCTGATAAACATCTCTACAATAGACTAAACAAGGCAGTGTAGAAACGTATTAATGAATTTCGTAATGAAAAATTTGTAGCTAATCACAGCCCAAGCGAAGCTAATGATTACACCCTTTGGAAAGCGACAAAACCCCTAAAACGTCCTTTCCTGGCTAGCTTCCCAATTGTAAAACCAGACGGTGAATGGGCAAATAATAGCCAGGAAAAAGCCCATACCATTGCCGATCACCTTGAAAAAGTATTTCAACCTAACCCCTGCGAATATCCAGAGAAGGAATGCGAACTAGAGGAAGAGTTGGTAATATTAATTTTCTCCCTGCAGAAAAAATCAACAAAATTACATATGACGAAATTTTCGAGGAAATTGAATATAAAACAAAAATCAAGAAAAGTCCAGGTTTTGATCTTATCTCAGCAATTATTCTCAAGCAACTTCCTCCTGCGGCAATCGAAAAGTTAGAAGCACTCTTTAATGCAGCGTTGTCATTGAACTACATCCCTAGTCAATGGAAATTGGCTGAGGTGATTGTTATTTTAAAACCCGAAAACCTCCTTCAGCCTCTAGTTCGAACCGCCCTATCTCCTTACTTCCCCTGATATGCAAACTTTTCGAGGAGTTATATATTATACGTTTACTGGCAAATGTAAATAAGAAAAAGTTACTTCCTAATGAGCAGTTTGGTTTCAGGGCTAAACATAGCACAATAGAACAATTACACCGGATCTCTTCTTATATTGAAAAGGCGCTAGAGGAGAAACAGTTTTGTAATATAGTTTTCTTGGATGTCGCCCAGGCATTTGACAAAGTCTGGCATTCTAAAGTGGCTTTTAAACTTTCAAAAATCTTGCCTGGGAACCACGTGCAATTAATAATGTCTTATTTAGCAGATAGATCTTTTAGGGTTCGATTTGAAGACTCTTACTCTGAATTTAGGAAAATAAGAGCAGGGGTACCTCAAGGTTCAGTACTCTCCCCCCCCCCTAATCTTTAGTCTCTTTACCGCTGACGTACCTAAACCTAAAAACCGGCGCTCCGCTTTGCTCCGCGCCGGTTTTTGGGGGGGGCTTCGCCCCCCCAGGACGCGCGCTTCGCGCGCGTTTTTTAGTTTGAGTGTCCGGCCTCAGTTGTTCTGTCTTTTAAGTGACTCGTGCGTCCACCGCGGGAAGAGTGTATTTTCCGAAGGGAGGGGCGGGAGCGGGGATTTATCAATGTTTGGAGGTTGGATTCACGTTTACACTTATGGAGGCATTGATTATTCGAACAAGGACTTCATGTCGCCAGATTACAACATCAATCCTCATGTAATGTCTGATATGAAAAAATGTCAACAAACGCTGTGGCAATCTTGAATGACGATGGATGAATCTCCATAACCCTCTGTGCGACAACATTGCCGCCTTGTCCACCAATTATCAGTCTGTAACCCACTGTGCGGCAATATAGCCATCGTGTCCACCAATTATCAGTTCATCAGTTCGTGACCCATTGTACAATAACAATGCCGTCTTATCCACCAATTTTCGGTTCGTGACCCACTGTGCGACAACATTGCCGTCTTGTCCACCAATTTTCTGTTCGTGACCCACTGTGCGACAACATTGCCGTCTTGTCCACCAATTTTCAGATCATGACCCACTCTGCGGCTTCCCTCCTCTTTAGCCGCACACCCCCCGCCTAAAACTTTCAAAGCTCGCCATTTTTAAACGGCTCGACCGATTTCGCTCAAATTCAGTACCAGCCTAGAACTAAGTAAGATCTTCCTTCTGTAAAAATTTCGGAAGGAAAGCTTTTAATTTGCGCGAGTTATCGCGCCCACAAAATTGAACCTTCCCCCCACTTCTCGCCCCCACCATTTGAAATGTAAAACTTTGATCTCCGTTTTTTTTCGCAGAATGGTAGTCCTGTTCCTCTACTTTACATCGCAAAAAGTTTCACCCGGAAATTTTTTAAAATGAGGGAAATATAACGAAGCAAAAATCGGAAAAACCACGATGTACATACACACACACACACACACACACACACACACCCCTCACACACACACACACACACACACACAATAAAAAAATAAAAAATAAAAAAAAATAAAAATAAATGAAAATAAAAATTTGTTAATTGTGACTGCTGATAAAAGTGACAAGACTGTGATCATTGAAAAAACCGTTTACAGAAATAAGATGTTGGATTTGTTATCAGATTCGAAAGTGTATAGGAAAATAGGGAAATGCTTGACATTTACTTTACAAAATAAAAACAACGCCCTTGTAAAAAAATGGTTTCAGAACGATTGGATAGGCAAATCCACAATGCAGAGTTTAACAATTCTAAATGCAATCCCTTGTAGAATATATGGACTTGTAAAGACCCACAAACCTGGAATGCCATTGAGACCAATAGTGAGCTCAATAAATAGCCCTTTTTATAATATGTCCAAATATTTTGGCAATATATTGGAAAAAGTAGTAGGTAAAACTGGCCGTACAGTCAAAAATTCGTATGAATTTATAGAATTTCTAAAAAGCCAAATTCTTCCTGATGACTTCGTTTTAGCATCGTTTGATGTCGAATCAATGTACACAAATATTCCCATAAAGTTAGCTTTGAACGTTATCACGGAAAAATGGCCACTAATTGCCCTACATACAACCTTACCCAAAGAGCAATTCCCAGAGGGCATTAGGGCATGTTTAGACTCAACAATTTTTAAGTTCGGAGAAGATTGCTACAAACAGATTAACGGACTAGCGATGGGTGGACCGGTGAGTGCCAGTGTTGCCAACTTGGTTATGGAATATTTTGAAGAAAAAATGTTTGAAGTTTTTCCGTATAAAATGTTATTTTATAAGCGCTTTGCGGATGACATAATTCTATGTTGTCATAAGGACGATCTCAATAGTATTTACCAATTCTTCAACATGTTTTCGAGTAACATTAAATTCTCAATTGAATATGAAGCCAATAATGCCATAGCTTTCCTGGATATTCTTGTTATAAAACAAGGGAGTAAATTTGTTACATCGTGGTTTACAAAACCTACTTTCTCGGGCAGATATCTGAATTTTTTGTCTGCACAACCTCTCTCTCAAAAAATCAATGTAATTAAGAATTTGGCAAGACGCGTATGCCTACTTACTCATCCCATGCTCCGCAAAGAAAAAATAAGGGAAGCTAAAAAATTGTTATTTGAAAATTGTTATCCCAAGCACCTTGTCAACTCTATATTTGAGAATGTAGTGAAATTGTGTTATAATGGCTTTCCCCCTCCAAAATTGTTCGAAAAAACCGAATTTGTTGTATGTCCGTACGTTTCCTCCTGCTCAGAAAAGATTAGATCCGTGTTAAAGCCGCATGGCTACACTTTAGTCACTTCTAATAAATCAAATTTACAAAATTTCCAGTCTTGTTTGAAGTCAAAAATCCCAACTGAAAAGCTGTCAGGAGTGGTGTATGAGATACCGTGTGGAGATTGTCAAGGCGTCTATATAGGGCAGTCATCCCAATATCTGCATAAAAGGCTGGATGGGCATAAGTTTAATCAACATGAGGTTACAGCGCTAAAGCAACACATGAGAGAAAAGGGTCATTCCTTTGATTTCAATAACACCAGGGTGTTGAAGAGAGAGAAGAATGAACAGATTAGGTTGAATTTGGAGGGGTTATGTATTTT